ACAATTTCTCTATCTGAGGGTCAGCCTGAAGACGTTTCAGTGGCCATGTATGCCACCTAGGGAGACGTGAGGGTCTGACGCTGGAGCATTTCACAGGGTGTAATGCCGGCTGCTAAAATGATTTAATGGTCTTTCTTGTACAAGGTTTTTGGGAAAAAAAAAAAATCAATACAAAGCCTATCTGGCAGGCTATAAATAAATTCTTTTGAGCACTACACCCACTTTATGCAAAGCACTTGTATCAGTGAGAGATTAGCAGATTAGAAGTCTTCTGTTTAATAGAAATCTAGTTAAGAAGAATCCTTCCTGAGAGACCCAATATTTATAAGATAAATACACTTAGGAAAATAAACTGAAGATGAAAGGGGCCATATCAGTATTTAGTCTCAAGACCATTCTAACAATTATTTTCACATGAATTAGAGAACTGGCATCAGAAACTATCAGGTGTAAACAGATTTATCTTGTTTGCAGTAAAGGAGTACTAGGATCTACTTTTCAGGGTCAAACGGCTTTCGAGCTTTTATTTACAAATTTTAAAAAGTACTATGTACGGTCAACAAGACTATATAATGGTATTACATATACTTAATTTTAAAAATCCACCACAATGCTATTCCATTTAAAAAAATTTAATTAATGTTATTTATAAATTTTAATTTCTAAAATAACAAACATTTGTGACTGATTGAGGGCATGTATAGGGTTTAACTAATTAAATAAAACTAGTCTTTTTCCCAGACATTTTTTTCCCCCTATTCTGTTCCATTTCACTAACCTTTAGAGTTGGAATGTTAGAGTCAGATGTATGACTTAGTATTAGATTCTCAAGGAAAAGATTTTGAAGACTAAACAAACCCAAAGGAATAAATTACGTTTTGAGAGAGAAACAAAGCAAAACTCTCTACTGGCAGCTTTCATAACTCTATTTCCCTGTGAAGAAGTAAACATAAATTAGTACACATTTCTAAAACTAACACTGTAGAATATTGTCCTGCGAGATATTGGCCTGCCTGTCCTAATTTCACTCCAGAACAATACTGGACCTAATGGTTTGTGATTCTTATAACCGCTCTAAGAAATCTTTGCCTGCCCCAAGGTCACAAAGATATTTTTCTGTTTTCTTTTAATAGCTTTATGGTTTTAGCTTTTAAAGTTTATGATATATTTCAAATTGGTTTCTATGTATGGTGTGAGGTAGGGGTAGAGGTTCTTTATTTTCATACAAACAGTTGTTCTTTCTTTTCATACAGATAAACAGTTGTTCCAGCAGCATTTGTTAAAAAGATTTTCCTTTCCCAATTGAATTGCTTTTGTGCCTTGTTGAAAGTCACTTGACCTTATATGTGTGCATATATTTTATGGATGATTTGCTATCCTTTCGCCAATACCATACTTTCCTGATTACTGTGGCTTTAGAGTAAGGCTTTTTTTAAAAAAATATTTATTTATTTATTTGGCTGTGCCAGGTCTTAGTTGTAGCACGTGGGATCTTTAGTTGTGGCATGTGGGCTCTTCTAGCAGGCTCTTAGTTACAGTATGTGGAATCTAGTTCCCTGACCAGGGATCAAACCCGGGCCCCCTGCATTGGGAGCGTGGAGTCTTAACTACTGGACCACCAGGGAAGTCCCTAGAGTAAGACGATGTCAAGTAGGGTTGAATCCTCCAACTTTGCTCTCTTCCAAAACTGTTTTGGTTTTCTAAATATATTTGAAAATCAGTTGGCATTTTGATTGGTACTGAATTTATAGACCAATTTGGGAAAATGTACCATTTTACTAATACTGAACCTTTTGAATATGGCTATACCTCTCCATTTATTAGGTTTTCTTTAATTTCTCTTAGCAATATTTTATAGTTTTCAGTCTTGAACATCTTTCATTAAATTTATCCATAAGTATTTGATGGTTTTTAATGTTACAGTAAATGTTATTTTTCCTAAATTTAATTCTTAATTGTTCACTGCTAGTAGATAGAAATACAATCAATTTTTATATACTGACTTTGTATGCTGCAACACTGCTATGTATCTGTTCTAGTAGTGTTCTAGTAGTGTTCTTGTAGGACTTTCCTTAGGACTTCCTATATAGAATCAGGTCATCTGCAAATAATGACAGTTTCACATCTTCCTTTACAATATTTATGTCCCTTTTTTCTTGTCATGCTGCACTGACTGGGACCCCCAGGACAATTTTGAATAGATGTGGTGGAAGGAGACATCTATGACTTGTTTGCAATATTACAGGGAAATATTCCAAATTTTAACCTTTAAGTGTCATATAAGCTATACAGGTTTTGTTTTTTGTTTTTTTTTTTGCGGTACGTGGGCCTCTCACCGTTGTGGCCTCTCCCGCTGTGGAGCACAGGCTCCGGATGCGCAGGCCCAGCGGCCATGGCCCACGGGCCCAGCCGCTCCGCGGCATGC